CCGGACCGGTGCCCGCAGTGCAGCCCCAGGATTACTGGCAAGGAAAACCGGCCGCTGCCGTGAGCCAGCAACGGCGAGCACCGCAGCAAAGTCACCTACGGCATTTAACGGGATGGATTTTGTGGGATGCACCGAGCCCGCTGGGATGCGGCCGCGCTGGCGTGTGGGGCACCGAGACGGGGGGACGGTAATTAGCAGGAGCGCCAAGGAGCAGAACTGGGGGGCAAAGGCGCCAGGGCCGTCAGCTCCCAGCATGGGCAGGAAAATTAGTCAGCTCACCTTTTACGTGAAATTAATACAAAAATTAATCAGCGGCGCGGGCAGGATAATAGGATTTCACAGTGGTGCTGGGCCAGACGGCCAATGTGCCGAGAGCCAGACTCATTTAATATCGACAGAAACAATGCCAGAGGACAGAAATAAGACCCATAAAGATAATTACTGAGATACTCAGGAGCAAATTAAGTAATCAGAGGCACTTCTAAATTGTGCCTCGTTTTAAGAGAACTCTATCTTTGTTGATTACCTACACAGGCGTTTAGGAGGCGGCAGGAGGCTCGGCCCCGCGCGCCAGCTCGCCGGCCCCTCTGCGCCACGCTTACCGCAGGTGCCATAAATAAAGAAGAGAAAATTGTATTCCAAACCAGATGCGTGGCCCTGGATGTCACCTGCAATTTAATTTGCACTAGCAGGAGGCAGAGAGGAGCGAGACATGCTGGATTTGCCCATAATGAGCGGAAACATACAGGCAGCTAAACTTTGATTAAGGTGACCTGGCTGGTGGTGGCCAGCGGCGAGCGCAGCACGGGGGTCTGGCCGGGGAGCGCGGCCACTGCTGCACACCACCTGCCCCGGGGGACGCGGCCCGGTTGGGGAAAAGCCTCAGAGACCTCAGGCAACCAGGGTCCTGCCCCAAGGGATGGGGGGCGATCGGCCAAAAACCCCACTCTGCCGTGCCCGCTGGGTCCGGCTTGGGGTCAGACCTCTGCAACCTGCCCTCCTCCCACTGGCATGGTTCAGGGACCCCCCCCCGGCACCCTGGGGCTGGGACCCTCCCAGGACACGGGTGGCTGCACCCAAGAGTGGATCTCCCCACTGACGGGTGCCTTGCCGCGTGGCAACACCACGTATGGGCTCCCGCTCCCCAAACCTCCTTATTGTAGCTTCGTCTCTGGCAGGGCGGGAAAAGCTGGGGAGCACCAACCCCTCCCATGGGAGGGTGCTCCTGGGCCCCGTCCCCAGGGTGCTGCTCCTCAGCATCCTCATGGGCTGCGATGGTGCCCGGCTCTGAGCCACAACTAGGTCTCCAGAAAACCCTGCCAGGCTCAGCCCGCCCGCGGGTCTCGGACCATGCGGGCACGGCTGAGCTAATTAGCCCGTGGCAACGAGGCGTGCCGGGAGGCAGACCCTCGCGCCAGCCCTGTGCCGCCGCGCGCTGCTCAGGCATGACGGATTAGGAATAATTTTACAAGAGCAACATCCGTTTTCCTTCCAGAGACTAATAAGGAGACCCGAGCGGCACCGCGAGCGCCGATTCAGCGCAAGCACGCGAGGGTCCACGCACGCACCCACACGCTTTGCAGACTCGCCGAAACCCCCAAGAGCTGACACCCTGATGGGTGCTCGGGTGCAAACAGCTCAGGGGGCACCGATCTCACCCGCCCCCATGATGCACACACAAGTGCTTCCCCACCTGCAATGCTGGGACACGCGGGTGCCCATCACCCTGCCTCTGGCCTGGGTGATCTGCTCCCTGCAGCGATGCTGTGCTGGAGCCTGGGGAGCTTCACCCAAAAAATAACCCTCCTGGCTGCCAGTGTGACCCAAGCCCCACTGGAGAGATGCCAGGGGTCCCCAGGGTGGGTGAGCATCACCCAAACCCTGCGCCAGGCTCGCTTGGCTGCGTCGGGGTGCCCAGGTAGAGGGGAAAAAAACGTCTCCGGGAAAATACAGATCATTAAACAAATGCCCGGGGGCTGTCACAGACTAACAAGCAGAGCTTTAGCAGCTGATTTGTCTTCAGCCGGCAATGTTTAAAAATCCAACTGAGACCAGCAGAAAAATATCCACTCCCCTCTTTAAAACACACATTCATCACTTGAGAATCTCAATGCGTCTTTCCCAGCCGGGGAGGTCAAACACGCCTGCCTAAAGCAGGCTCATTAAATATACATTTAATCATGGTTTGGATTGAGAGACAAAGGCTGGGAGAGACAGGTGCTTTACTGGAGTGACCTTTTGGATCCCATTTTAATGTAACTAGTTTACAGCTTATCTGAAAGGCCAGCTCCTGGGGAAGGCAAGCTGCAGCAAAATGGGGAAAGTAATTAGGGGGGGAAGGGCCGGGGAGGTTTGGGGGGCTGTGGAGCAGGCGACGGCAGTATCCTCTGCCGCCGCCGTGCTTCCCAGACAGCTCTGCAACATTTTCTGAAGTTCGACTTATCAACCAGAGCAACCCAATTTAATTTGCTTATCTTGTCTCCTTCCTCCCCCTCCTCCCCACTTCTCCTGCTCTTTTTAATTATCGGTTAAATAAATGTCTTTTTCAATAAGAGAAGCAGCATCAAAGAGGGTGCGCGGCCCCCTGGGCACTTACACTTGCGCGGCTCCAGCGCCTTGTTGGGGCAGGCGAGGTGCTGGGCTGGGGGGTTCTGGGTCCTCTGCAGGCAGGCCAGCATGGTCTGGGCCTCCCGGCGGGCAGCGCCGCCCCCGCAGCCAGCCTGCGCCCTGCCGAGAGAAGAGACACGCCGGTCAGGTGAGGGGACCTGCCCGCCCCGCTGCCCGCCACCCTCCTGCCCACCCAGCCGCTCCCCGGGCAGAGGAGCTGGAGGTAGTGAGCTCCCGGCACCAACCATCAGCACGCGCTGCTCGGAGCCTTTTGCTCCTTTGGAGATAAATAAATAACTCTGAAAGCCTTAAATAAATATGAACGTATATAAAATAAATATGAAGGTCTCTGGGTGATTTGTGTTGCCTGCAAAGCTTTCCGCCCTTCCCGCCGGGAAGAGGGCAGAGCCGGGGCATCCCTCCGGCACCGCGTTCTGGGCAGTGCCAGACCGCTCTGCTGGTGTGCCAGCCAGTGCCTCCCGGCAGAGAGCGACCCCGCCGGCTCGGGCCAAGGCTGAGGAAAGATGGCGTTAAAATCCCGCTTGGGGTCCTGGGATCCGTTGCCAGCTCCCAGCTGGCATCAAAATCTGCTCGACAAAAGCTGGAGGGGTCAGGCCAAAGTCATTGCCGCCACCGCTCTGCTAATTGTACATCCTTCACGAGCCGCCGCAGAGGGCATGAATTATAACCAGTTGCTGCTGACACCCTCCCACTGCTCTGGCTGGCGGAGGGAGCGATATTCCCGCTTGGAGAGGGCAGGGAGACGTGGGCAGGAGCAGCAGAAAAGCAGGCAGCGGTGTCTGTCCTCCAGCGTCGCAGCTTCTGAGCCATCACTCTCCCAGCTGAATGTTGATGGCTGGGGCTCACCGCTGCGGGTCACGGCTGGGTGGCACGGCTGGGTACATCACTTTATTGCGGGGGAACCATCTCCTGCAGCCGTCCAGCAGACGGGACGTTTCCTGCACGCTTCGGGATTGGCAAGCAGTGCCAGGGCCGGCGTGCAGGGGAGCTGTGCGGTGGCCTCGGGCACGCACTGGCAGAGCCTGTGACCATCACCCGCCGGGCAGCAAAGCATGGACGGATGCTCCTCGAGCTGTGCCCGGGGCTCTCCTTGCTCCGCCAGTTTAAATGTCACCCTTCGAAACACGCCTTCGCAGCCACCGCGGGTGCACAGACAACAGTGCTCGCGTGCTTGCTGCTTGCTGCCGCCCCGTGCCCCCCATCACCGGGGCGGGGGGGTCCCAGGCTCTGGGCTCATCCCCCAGCCGGACAGCCAGAGGTGGCGGTGGGACCCGCTGTGGGTGTCAGTGCCGTGGCTGGGCTCTGCCTGAGGGGGCTGGGGGTCTCTCCCCGTCACCCCACCGCCACCACGCTGCAAACTCGGGAAAGGGAGAGACTCGTTAGCGAAAGGTGTGAGGAGCAGGAGGGGAGGAGGAAGTCATCTAATACCAAGCAGGTGTCTGGAGAACCCAAATTGTGCTGTTTTCTCCTAATAATGAAGTATTCATGAGTAAAAGCCTTTTTCACTACTTTCTTAAGATACTAATTTCACAACAAGCGCCTTGTTACCATGCAATTATTCCAATCGTGCATTTCTCCCAGATTCCATCTGTCCTCACGCTCTCTAAATGAAAGACAATCATGTAACCACCTTTCAATATTCACTATTTTACTTTCAGCAAAGGTACCCTGAAAGAAATGATTTCCTCTGAAAGGGACTTTTATTCAGTTTCAAAACCAATTTTCTCCTATTACTGTCTTAAAAAAAAAAGGAGGGGGGCAGGGAGGTGTTTTTATTTCATGCATTACATATCCTTTGTTAACGCAGCTCGCAGTAAAAGCAGCCGTATCCATTTTCTGGCTTCGATTTCTGGTAATTTTAAAATATGCCATTACAATCAGGCAGAAATTATACAGTTTGAAAAGAGAACGAAGTGCTGCTTATTCAGAGGCTGAGCGCACTTGACTGCCAGGGAGCTCGCCTCTCCCCGCCGGGACTCGGGGTTCATTACGTAGCCCCGCTCCCGGCGCGCCTCAGCTCCCCTGGCACGCGCTGGCACGCGCCCACCGGCCGGCTTCAGCGGTGGCTGCATC